TTTGTTTAAAATCTGTGTAAAGTTCGTTTCTCCTCTATTCAGTAAAATATCTTTGGACCCCCCCCCCCTCCCACATTACCTCATTTCTCTCCAATGCAAAACATTTGCTATGAAGGACAAAATGTTCCAAGGTTTCATCTTCTTCCTTATTTTCCAATTTCCTTTTTTAATAATCTAAACTACTAGTAAGTGTGTAGAACCTTGTTTTAACAGTTTGACTCTGCCACTAAATCCATGTATGGTTTGCTATTACCTTGTTCTTGTAATACATGTAATAAGTACTTCTAATATTATAACCAGAGTTAACTGATTCAACAGATTTTTAAGTTCCTTAATATATAATAATAATAACAATAATTTTATTATGCAACTTAACCATCTATGGGTTTAGTGAGGTAAAAAATGATAATATATAATATATAACATGAAGCGTTTATGTCGGTTTTAAGAATAACGACATAAAATAATATCCAACGATACGTTTTAATGGTAGCTTAATGATCTAGGTAGCAATAACATTGATACAATTTTACAATTTAGAAGCTGCGTTTGTTCTGCGTTCACGACAGAGTCATTCGGCGGGCATTCAAGCTAACAGTGCGACGACCTCCAAGTCTAACCCCCGTAACATTTTTCAGCCAATTTCATTCGGTATTGTTTGCTATACTGCACTTTCCAATGTGTGATGTAATATCATAAAGTTGAATTGAGTCGAGTAAATTATGTCGTGGGGCCATGCTGACTTGTAATGTTTTGTAAAATACTGAATAACATTGATATCGCAGCACCACGGTTATTTTGTAAACATGCTCAGACATTCCATGGACATTCTACGCAGGATTCGCCCCTCGACATTAACTCCAATATGACCTTATGTCGAACCCTCGAATTTTCTCAAACATGCATGCACCTTCGCTACACACCATGGGTGTACAATAACTGCAATAAAAACAGCAGTCCGTAGTCCGTAGTCACTTACCGTCAGTATCAGCAGAGTTACCAGAGGAAATAATCACGTCCGGTTCCAGCCCGAATCGTCCTTATAATATATGCTGATGAGAGCGATGGCGCTGTTCACGGAAATCACGTGACCAACTACAGTGAGCTCATAACTCACTAATAGTAATTATTCATAACGTTTTTATTTTGCTATTTTTCGCTGATACAGCGTCAAAAATGAAATCTGCAAAATTAAATACAAGTGGAAACAGTGTGTGGAATGTGTACTGACTAGCCCACACGTGTGGGATTAGTCATCTAGGCGTCCAGACGTTTAAATAAACATGCTGTGTTTTACTAAAATGTTGAAATGCACTACACTGTTGCTAAAAAGAGCCATTCGCGATCGAATTTCGCCGGGGGACTGGGCCCAGCGGATTGTGATTTCCACGACGGGTCATTTATAGTTGCCCCGAATTTATATTGTGAAATTACGACGAATACTATTTATTTTTTTATGAAATAATGCTTTAACACGAATTCTTATGAAAACAGTTTTAAACGGCCTATGCTTTCAGATTAGCCTGACAAGGTCGCGTGAGTTGCGCCCTCTACGGTACTCCAAACCCCAACACACCAGTGATCTCTTATGTCATTCGGCCGGCGATGGCGACACTCACGCCTACATGTCAGGCTAAATACACGTCTGACACGCCCAAAAGTAACCGTTCCTACTTAGTAACTAAAAGTAACCTACACTGTTTATTATTATTATTATTATTAATTATTATCAATTATTAGTATTACAAATTAGATAAGAGGTAAAGGTAAGTTTCATTTCATCACATCATACAATCTACAGTAAATGGCAGAAACCTGGAGATGTAATAAACGTTTCATAGATATAAATTTGTATAAATCAAAATAGCTGTTAAACTTCAAATTGACTAATCAGAAAACGGCATTGTGGCATCATCGCGAGTTCTATTAAAAAGTTAGTTCAACATCAACATCATCCAATTCTTTTGAATAAGGCCTAACCGTTTGATGTATACTGAATTCAAAAATATACTCAACATCATCCCAGTGGCAAACGCTTTTTGAATAAGTGGACAGCTTTCTGTCATTCACTGTATACTGAACCTAAAAGATATTTTGTATTCATTCTACTCAAAATCAAACGAGCAGTTCAAACCTGACTTCAACAAAACTGAGAAGCATGTCAGATAAAAACAGCACCAATGAGAAAACAATAACTTGAATGATGTTCCATTGTTAAACCTTTAGCATGAATAACTTTTTATTTCCCCATTCATAAATAAATAAGACAAGATTCAACCAATCATGTCCAAACAGTTTGAGGCAAATCAGTAACCCACTATAAGTGATGTCAATACCAAGTTTGAATGAAATTGGTCAAGGCATGACTACTGAAGAACGGTTGACATGTTAAAACATGTTTTGTGTGTTTTGGGACAAAATGGGTCAAAGGTCAACCAAATGAACAAACAATGGACGTATTTATCGCAACTTATCAAGGCATGTCTGAGAAATGAAAATAGACGGACGGACGGACGGACAGACGGACGGACGGACGGACGGACGGACGGACGGACGGACGGACGGACGGACGGACGGACGGACGGACGGACGGACGGGGACAAGTCGTCTAACCATGCCTGAAAAACAGTTCTGTGGTTTAACTTTTTTTGATAAAAATAGCTGCCAGTTTGCTAAATTTCAAAGAAAACAATGGAAGACAACATTAAATCCGTTTTAATTTTGAATCAAATCAAGAAAAAAAAAAAAAAAAATGTGCATCATTTTGGGTGCTTTGTGAAATTGCCACCAGTTGGTCAACGGTCAACGACATGACAAATAAGCGTGTCTGTCTCCCATAATTATTTCGCTTTTAACCAACTTTGAACAAAATTAGTCAAAGCATGTTGAGAAATAGTGATGAATGACAGACGGATGGATGGACAGACGAACGGACGGCCGGACAGATGAATGAACGAACAAACGAACGGACGGACGAACGGACACATGCACACATACAGAAACAGATGGACCTCAAAACACAAGTCTCTGTATCTGACAAGAACCAATAAACCATTTATCAACTATCACCCAAGTTTTTATTAATCTAAAGTGTAGAAATTAATAATTACAATGACAGTTCCTGGGATACGTTCTAAATTCACACAAAAAAGATTTATACAATATATGCTTGTTAAATTTTGATTTAATTACAAGTAATCACGCTGATTATTTATACAAGCCAGTATTTGATTGGTTGTCAAAAACAAGTTAATCAGTAAGGTGTTACCTGATTGGCTAGCTGAGAGATATCAGGATTAAGCACACAATATTGTAAGTCACTTGCAACACACTTTGGTTTTTTTTGGTCCAAAAATAACAAAATTACAAATACCGATAAAAGCAGTACGGGTATTGAAAACTATACTAGTAAGGTCTTTAAAGTCAACAGTAAAAACTGATGTTAAGCAACACAAAGAAAATATTTAAAAAAAAATTAACAGAAATAACTAGCAGGAAAATGTACTGTAAACAGCTTAATTTTCAACTTGAATCTTATAGTGAAACCAGCAAAGAGCTCAGACTCTTGTGAAAGAATTCAAAACTAAGAATAATTTTTTGGAGTAATAATATCAAAGTCAGTAATTTTTCATAATTTTTCATAATAAACCTGGGAGAACTGTAAACCTGGGAGAACTGTAAACCTGGGAGAACTGTAAACCTGGGAGAACTGTAAACCTGGGAGTACTGTAAACCTGGGAGTACTGTAAACCTGGGAGTACTGTAAACCTGGGAGAACTGTATACCTGGGAGTACTGTGTACTATGTGAAATTTTAATTTTGAGAGTCAGTAAAAAATGATAAAAAATTTGTCTTAGTACTACAACATGGAGTCTACAACTACATTGAGTGACTTTTGTGAAATTTTGTCTACACGAATTCTGTACAATTCTGAAAATTTCCAGCAATGAAAATTAAATAGTTTATTGTATTTTTTTAAAAGGATTTTTAGTTCAGTGTTATCACATGCATATGGTCAAATATTCAAAAGATGAGGGTACACAAGTAGTATGCGATGAAAATCTCACAGGAATGGAGATCACAGTGAGATATTCACAAAAATGGAATACATTGCTAGAAATACGAAAGCAAATGGCCATGTCGTAAAAAGAATTGGATGTGTTCGTTTCAGGCCATGTTGTTAGTACCTTGAACATTACATATTTTAATACAGTGATTATCTTACTCATTTCTGTTTATACAATCATAGCTTTCCAAGCGCCCATCTCTGTGATGTGATTGATTGGAAATGCATTCGATAGATGTGCACACAGAATTGTATCTTTATTACGTATTATTGTACTTAGATATCACAGTTGCATATCCTTATCTGATAAATCCTTAGCAGTCTATACCAGGTTTTATTTAATTTTTCTTTGTAAAACTAAACTGCAATATCCCAAAATAAATGTTGGTAATAATTTTGTGATTATGTCAGTTGAAACCAATTCTGTTTCCATGGAAACATGGATTTTATTTTTCTCCCCAAACTAGGGCACTAATTTAGTGAAATTTCAAACTCTGAATTTTCAGACATATCTGAATGGGTTTAGAATTCTAGAACCAATATGCTTTCTGAGCTCCACAATAAATGCCTAGCATCAACAGCCAGTGAATGCAATCACGGTTACTACTGGCTGGAAATGTTTTTGAAAATTTAATCATAAGCACTGGCAACCATTTGGCAATCATGCAACTATGAGGAATAAACCGTCCATTGAAAATGAAGTATTTTGCTTCTCAAGGTTCAGTTTGAATAAATTTGCATGGCTAATGAGATAAATCAACCATCCATGCTCGGCATTTATCGTACA